TCTCTCTCTCTCTCTCTCTCTCTCTCTCTCTCTCTCTCTCACACACACACACACGTCAAGTCACTTACATTTTAGATGCAATATTGAATAAGCAGAAAAATCGGATTTTCTGCTCTGAAAATATAAATAAGCATAAAAATTTAATAAGCACTTTGAATATTCTAAACAGAATAAGCACTAGTCGCTAATGAATAAGTACTAGTACTTAATGGAATAGATACTAGTATCTAAAAAATAAGTACTAGTAGCATGAAAATAGAGACTAGTAGGTTAAAATGATTAAATGTTAAAATGGCTTGCCATATTGTCTCAGAGAGAGAGAAAGAGAAAATGACCTTTTAGATACTTACTAGATACTAGTATTTATTCAATAAATACTAGTACTAAGTCATTAGATACTAGTATCTATTAAATAGATACCAGTACTTATTCATTAGCTACTAATACGTATTCAAAAGAATATCTAAAGAATAAGCACTAGCTCTCACACACACACACACACACACACACACACACACACACAGCTTTGTTTTTGTGATATATGAGGACATTCCATAGGCGTAATGACTTTTATACTGGACAAACTGTATATTCTATCCCCCTACACTGCCCCTATCCCTAAACCTACCCATCACAGGAGACATGCTGCATTTTTACATAAAAAAACCCCCATTGTTTTTTATGTTTTTTAAGCTATTTGAAATATGAGGACACATGCAATGTCCTCATATATCACGTGTAAGTTGTAATACCAGTGTAATATGCATGTCATTATACACATTTGTGTCCTCATATATCACAAAAACAAACACACACACACACACACACACACACACACACACACACACACACACACACACACACACACACACACACACACACACACACACACACACACACACACGTCAAGTCACTTACATTTTTAGATGCAATATTGAATAAGCAGAAAAATCGGATTTTCTGCTCTGAAAATATAAATAAGCAAAAAAATTGAATAAGCACTTTGAATATTCTAAACAGAATAAGCACTAGTCGCTAATGAATAAGTACTAGTACTTAATGGAATAGATACTAGTATCTAAAAAATAAGTACTAGTAGCATGAAAATAGAGACTAGTAGGTTAAAATGATTAAATGTTAAAACGGCTTGCCATATTGGCTCAGAGAGAGAGAAAGAGAAAATGACCTTTTAGATACTAGTACCTATTAATAGATACTAGTATTTATTCAATAAATACTAGTACTAAGTCATTAGATACTAGTACCTATTAAATAGATACCAGTACTTATTCATTAGCTACTAATACGTATTCAAAAGAATATCTAAAGAATAAGCACTAGTATCTAAAGAATAGGCACTAGTATTAAAGAATAAGCACTAGTCGCTAATGAATAAGTACCAGTACTTAATGGAATAGATACTAGTATCTAAAAATAAGTACTAGTAGCATGAAAATAGAGACTAGTAGGTTAATATGATTAAATGTTAAAGCGGCTTGCCATATTGGCTCAGAGAGAGAGAGAGAGAAAATGACCCTATTCAAACCACAATATCTGACTTTCTGAGGGTCGGAGCTAATTACTTTAAATTAGAAAGTTGTTTGGCTTGAGGAGAAGAATATACACGCTGAGTTTTGTAACTGTAGATAAAACTAACCCCCCCACTTTTGTCAAAAGCATTTAGAAAGTGACACACTTCCTGCTGCCAGTTGGTGGCGCTATAACTTTGACTCACAATAGTCACATCCATGTGATCGGCCTCTTACAGCGAACATACTGTTGAAGTTTCATCAAGATCAGTTAATGTATGCAGAAGTTATAACACACTTCCTGTTTCCATTATTCGCCATAAATTCGTTTCCTCGCCACGGCCAAACCGTTCGAGATATGAAAAATCCCCTGGCAATTTTTCATCCTCAATGTCTTGACATCATGCTGACCGAGTTTCGTTGCGATTGGTTGAATTCTCTAGGAGGAGTATATCGAATTCCAGGGGCATACGCTTCCAAACAAACCATAATAGCCGACTTCCTGTTGGGCTGGGGTAAAAAGTAAAAGTACAAAGGATATATGAACCGATGAGATCTATATGTGTACCGAGTTTCATATTATTACATGGAAGCGTGTTTGATTTATGGACCAAGTTTTCGGACCCCGTTCCAGGGGGCGCTGTCGAGCCCCCCTGCCACGCCCGGGTACCAGCTTCAGCCCGGCCCTGATGGCCGCGGGTTCTGACCAGTGTGCAAAGTTTCAAGAGTTTTCGTGCACGTTAAGAGCCCCAAAAGTGCCCGAATAGTCGATAAAATAATAATAATAATAATAATAATAATAATAATAATAATAATAATAATAATCCTAAGGAAAACAATAGGGCCTTCGCCTTTTCAAGGCTTGGGCCCTAATAATAATCCTAAGGAAAACAATAGGGCCTTCGCCTTTTCAAGGCTTGGGCCCTAATAATAAAGACCTTAATAATAAGTTTAAGCTTAAAAGTCAGGGTCTGAGACAAGGTAAAAACAAAAATTAACAGATATAAATTAAGTTATAATACAGCATTTCTAAAGGCAGTTTTAAAGGGGTCATATAATGGTACATGCACTTTTTCAAGTTGATTGTACTGAAATGTGTGTTGGCAGTGCCTGTACACAACCATCATATAATGAAAAAAATGTATCCAGTGTTTTTGTTTTAATCTCCTCATATATTTTCCCCTGTCTCAAATCGAGCCGTTCGTTTTTGTGACGTCAATAAAACGGATGCCCCTCCCACGATTTTTTGATTGATAGCAGCGTTTCAACACATACCCGCCCTGAGCGAGCTGTCATCATAGTCCGCCATTGTTGATACACTGGAGCAGAATGGCGTCTAAGCGATTGTGGTGTTCTGTTCTTGGGTGTAATAAGGAACACAGCAGTCATTTTGATGTTCCTAAATCCGAATCGCTGAATACGCAGTAAGTTGCTGAGTTTTGTTTTCGAAGGGAATATTCCCCACGAGCAACGTCAATGCTCTCATGTTTGCGTGATTCGCGAATCTTTTCTCACCAGACTGCTTTATAAACGAGGATCAGTAAGTTATAAAGCTGGTTTTGCTAAGAAGCTGCTCCTGAAAAAAGAACCGGTACCAACTATTCGTGTCCCTGCTGCACCTCCAGAAGAAGTGAGTATAAAGTTTTATTAACCTTTATATTAATCTTTGCAAATCGCTTGCACGCTTCACGATGAATGCGGCTAAGGTTTAAACTCAGGGTACATTACGGCATGTTTTCTATACGACGTTCTCAATATAATTCATAATCCCACGTTTATAATGAACAACGCGTTATTGTTATTGTGTTATTACAAACTGAGTATGTATACATCAGTAAACACATACAGCGTTCGTACATCTCACTAAGTTACTCTACCCTGCCAGTACATACAAAGATAGATCAAAGTGACATTGGGCCCTATCTTGCACCCGGCGCAAATGACTTTGTACACTGACGCATGTATCATTCCTATTTTGCACCCGCGCAAAGCGGACTTTTCCCTCCACAGACACACGTCGGTTAACTAAGAAATACACTTGCGCTCCCCGGGGCGGTTTAGCGCAAAGAGGAGGCGTGTTCCGGCGCAAACTTTCCCTCATGCTATTTTGCTGTTCTATAAAACAATTGCGCCACTGACCAGAAAAAACCTAGTCTAAAGTCAGTGGCGCGTTGCGCGTTGTTCATTATGCTATTTTAAGGGCGCATGCTTGGCCATAATCAATGTAGCGTGTGCACAACGCGCATACACTTTGATTCTCTCATAAGCAGCAGTTTTCATTTTTGCAAATCATACATTATTACGATAGATAGATAGATAGATAGATAGATAGATAGATAGATAGATAGATAGATAGATAGATAGATAAATAGACAATTTATTATAAAAGCATACATGTAGTTTACACATTTACCCAAATTATCATACGCCTGTTTAACAGAAGTTAATTTGGGTGGGTTTCTCCATCCCCAATGTCACTTCTCTGTGTTTTACGGCCCTGACGAGAACGTTGCTCTCCTCGGCTGTGAACCGCTCCTGGCGCGCGCCTGGCAAATCCGCCGTTATAATAGGAATCCGCTTTAGAACAAGCGTGCCTGCTCTTAAAGGGAATGTGAGATGACGCTCTGGTTGGTTTATTTCACGTTACGCCCAAACCACACCTATGAATAATGAAGCTACTTCAGACCAACCCCTTTTAGATTTGCGCCAGGCGCAAGAGGCATTTATCCCGCCGGGAAAATAGCAACAGCGCCGGGATCCGCCCACAAAGTTACTTGCGCTTTGCGCTTTGACACTTGCGTTTCAGATCGTTAAAATAGGGCCCATTATGTTAACCAACCATTCAGAAACGTCCTGTTCGAGCCTTAATTGTCGAACTTCTTAGCGGCTGTCATCTTGTTTCGGGTCCGACTCCGGTTCAAATTGATACGGTTGCACAGATGTCCTCAGAGACTCCCGCTGCCATTCTCTCTCCAAAATATACCCTCAACTGTTGTCAAGGCAACACTCCACGTGCGTTGTATCAAAACGCCAGCAGAACAGAGGGGCGGAGAGAGCGAAGCTCATTATCATTTAAAGGCGTATGCACTGAAACGGAGTGCTGAAAACAGAGCTGTTTTTGACCAGGTAAAATTAGTGTTTTCTTACAATACTAATGAGAATTTTTAATTGAAGTATATAACAAACTTTTCATTTAGACCCTAAAGAATCAAATTAACTTGTATGAGAATAGCATTATATGACCCCTTTAATGTAACTAAAAATAAAAAGTTTAAATGTAGGGACACAAAAATGCATAAAACAGTCTTTTCTCTTAAAGGAATATTTCACATTGCATTCATTTTCTTAGTCGACACATGAGAACCAATAGTGTTTAGCATCAAACCTGGCATGACGGAAGGTGCTACGTTGAATGTGCAGAGGGGAAGAATATCTGTGTGCTGAGTTTGTTTCTCTGCTTTTTCTTCTCAGAATGTGGATAAGTGGTCGTTTGATGTGTTTGCTCTGAACGAGTCGAGTGGCGACCACTCACTCAAATTCATCTTCTATGAGCTCCTCACCCGATACGACCTCATCAGCCGCTTCAAGGTGAAAACAACTCTTGAAGAAGTGAGAGTAGAGGGCTGTAATGGTCTTTTTCAGAGTTATTAACACCGTATCTCTGACAGATCCCTGTATCAGCGCTGGTCTCATTTGTGGAGGCTCTGGAAGTGGGTTACAGCAAACATAAAAACCCCTACCACAACCTGATACACGCAGCCGACGTCACACAGACGGTACACTACCTGCTCCTGAAGACAGGGATGGTGGTAAGCTGAAACACACACACAGATCACATCAGAGGTATATGACTGGAATGAATAAGTTCAAGAAGGGCTTTTAATACAATTTTGTGACCTATACAGTAGAAAGCATTTTTTAAATCGGTGCTACATGACTAGAGAAACAGAAAAAAAGCACTTGTCTTACCTTTTGCCAAAGCCTGTCTACGGAAAGCCTGGCCACTCCCTATTAAGTCCTATTGAACCGAATTTTGGTTGTAGTTCCACCAGAGTTCCACTGGGGGCGATCGTCCGAGTGCAAAATGAATGGGAGTCTATGGAGCTAGACGGCTAAATGTGTCTCTTTCACCCGATTGCCGTTGAGAAATCTCAGATTTGAATGTAGGTTTTGCAAGTTCAACATGGGTTATTATAGGTCGAAAGTTGAAAGAACGAGTACTTATGTCCTTTCGATTTCTTACAGGTTGAGTTGTTGTTGCCCATAACACGCTAGCATTCTGCTACTGAATGCTGGTTGGTCAGTGAAGGACTGATTACGACCACAGATACCGCTTGATGGCATCGTGGCATCCGAAGCGGGACCAATGTTAAGGCGGACTTAACTCTTCTAGCACGTGTATTTACCCGTGTCAGCTGTGTTGTCGATGCCTCGAGAGAAAGGAAAGTGCAGAGCGCGAAAGCACCAAAGTGACTGAAGGATGGCCGTAAACCAGTATCTCTGGTCGTACGATGTGTATGACGCCATTGACATTTTAAAAGACTTTTTAAAGCAAATAAGTGACTCTAAAAAAATCTAACACCCAGTAATCTGTCATTTCTTTGCATCTCCTTTAGAAAACAACATTCAAATTACTAGACAAAAAATTATATCCTGAGAAAAGTGGATTTTGAGGGGTATAGCTCCATAGACCTCCATTCATTCTGCACTCGTCCTGTGAGCGCCCTCATATGGAACCAGAGTGGAACTGCAACCAGTTCAGAAGCCGGAAGTTTACTGAGAGTGGGAGTTCTCCCCTTATTAGACATTCTCTGCTTTTGCTAAATAGGTAGGAAAACTTCAACACCCATAATGCACTGGGCATGTTGTCGTCCAATGCTTACCAGAGTCAAATACCGCCTTGCTTTAGTAGAAAATACCTCCTAGCAAACTTGTAGTCATAATGGTTTTGACTTGTATTGTTCCCAGGTGCAGGAATTCAAAGAGTAAACGTTTAGCGCTAGTGAGTAACTTTCGTTTTTTCCAGTGAAGGATCCAGTGTGTTGTAGGCTGAGGCTAAAGGCTGCACAGCATCGTAAATACAGAGAGAACGCTGTGTGAAAATCTGAAGATCCTCCATGTTTGTAGTCAACATTTCAAACTGGATGACCACGAACACAGTGTTTTAGGCCAAACAGAGAGGAAAAAACTGAAGAAGAAAAAAGCCGTTCGGTCAGTTCTTCCCAACCCGCCGAAGCTTACAAGTAATAAAGCTGTTGCCATAGTGTTCCATTTTTACCATAATGCTGTTTAAAGAGTAGACATAGTATGCTACCATTTTCAGTGATAAACCTACAATTACAATAACTGTTCTGTTAATAACCCTCTGTCAATCCGACTGTCTGTGGGGGGAATTAAAAAATGCGGAAGTACAATCGGCAGTTTTCACGGAAGCATTTCACGTCATCCGGCAGAATTAGCTGACAAATAAACATGAAATTCGAGTAAACATTGTTCATTTACATATAGTATACTACTGACATTGTAACAATACAAAACTGATTGAAAATCAGTGAAGTTACACTTTAAATGACCAAAAACTATTTTTAATAGTTCTAGTTTATATTAACAATAGCAACACTGCTCTGGGCTTGTGGAATCTCTTCCCTCATGTTTACAGCGGCGAAATGCAACGACATTACTACACCCTTCATTATCAACATGCTCTTGCAGCATAGACTGGTTTGTTGATTATACTGATCTAATGTGGCGTTGTTCCACTCGCTCTCAGTTCAGATACAGTGTTAATCATCTTGATAATGTTACGGTGACAACATGTCGAAGTCTGTGGGCACGAACTCAAGAGTAACTGCGCAGAAACCCAGCGGCGTAATCATTAATTCTGCTGACACGTTTGTGCTGGCGAACACACATACACACATCTTAAGCTTTTTAATAAACAATCATCAGGCCTGTCATAAAGCAGCCGTTCCTGAAGAGAATCCTCATGCGGTTTTCTCAAATGAGGGTCATTTACACAAATCTCTTTATCTTGCATCTGACTTGCTCACAAAGAGGCACGTCTCTCATCAGAATGCACTTCTGCAAGACAAATGTAGTGTGATGGTGTCATTTTGCACTCTGAACTGGAGTCCCTCTATTAAATGATTAAATATTAAGATGAAGTCCTGTGGGAAGCAGCGTGCAGCTGAGAGCTCAAGGTCCTTCAGAGCTTTAGATTCAAGATTGATCTGTGTTTCAACATCACATGTCCATTATTGTACTGCTATTGACTCAGGGCTTTTGGCTATTTACTTATTTTGGGGCTCTCCTAGAATACATTTACATGATTTAAAAATGAAATGAAATAAATTATCATACTGTACATTGCTGCAGCACTTCTTTTCAGTTTTAGTTCCTGTCTCTTTAAAACACACCATTCTGAAAAGTCCAGTCTGCTCTGCTCTGATTGGTCAGCTGGCCCAGTCTGTTATGATTGGTCAACCAATGGAATTCTCAGTTGTGAATTATTTAAATTCGGCATGAAATGGAAATTGCTATTGTGACATATCCAAGTAAAACAGCTTCTCAAACAAGAATAAATGTAGAGCGAGGCATGATTTTGTCTATCAGGAATTGATTGGATGGTTGAATGGTTGTTGTTTGTTATTGCAGTGATCTCATGTTTGTCCAGCCCTCACGCCAGTAAACATCATCAGAGAAGAGAAGTGATGTCACTGTGAGAGGGAGGGGAGGTTATTTTGATGAAAGATTACAAGGGCACATGAATTTGAAAAAATAATAATAATAATAATGATGTGCAGGGATACATCATTTAAAACAAATGCTGCAATATTCCATAAAAATATGAATTGGCAATTTTGATTTCATGGTGACAACAACTTCATCTCAAATGTTATATTTTTGAAATAAGTCTCTTATGCTCATCAAGCCTGCATTTATTTGATCAAAAATACAGAGAAAACTGTAATCTTGAGAATATATATATATATATATACTGTATATATATATAGGTTTTCTATTTTAATATAGTTTAAGATATAATTTGCAAAAGCTGTCTTTAGTGTCACTTGATTGTCACGGTGCGTGGTGTGGAATAAATCCGTGGATTCAAGTGCAGAGTAAGAAATATTTAATAAGGACCAAAACATAAAATAAACAAAAGAAAACTACAACGTACAACCTTAATCCAGAACAAACAAGGCAGGGCAGGAACAGAACTCAACACGACGAATACACGTAACAAATACAACGAACGAGCACAGGACAGCAAACACAGGAAGACTAAATAGGAAGGCAAATAAGGTGGGTAACGAGGATAACAGGTGGGACAAATAAACCAATAATCAGATAACAAGGGGGAGGGACCAGACAATAACAAGAGCACATGGCCCAACATAACAAAACACTCAAGTGCATAACCAAGACAGGACAGACATGTGACACTACCCCCTCCCTATGGAGCGGCTACCAGACGCTCCATAAAACCGGGGCGGGAGCGGAAGGAAACACCAGGGCGGGACGGGAGGGACAGACCAGGGCGGGACGGGAGGGACAGACCAGGGCGGGACAGACCAGGGCAGGGCGGGTCGGACAGACCAGGGCAAAACAGAGAGTCCATCTGGCGGCCAGGGCGGTGAAGACCCCTCGGGCGGCCGGGGCGGTGAAGACCCCTCGGGCGGCCGGGGCGGTGAAGACCCCTCGGGCGGCCGGGGCGGTGAAGACCCCTCGGGCGGCCGGGGCGGTGAAGACCCCTCGGGCGGCCGGGGCGGTGAAGACCCCTCGGGCGGCCGGGGCGGTGAAGACCCCTCGGGCGGCCGGGGCGGTGAAGACCCCTCGGGAGGCCGGGGCGGTGAAGACCCCTCGGGAGGCCGGGGCGGTGAAGACCCCTCGGGAGGCCGGGGCGGTGAAGACCCCTCGGGAGGCCGGGGCGGTGAAGACCCCTCGGGAGGCCGGGGCGGTGAAGACCCCTCGGGAGGCCGGGGCGGTGAAGACCCCTCGGGAGGCCGGGGCGGTGAAGACCCCTCGGGCGGCCGGGGCGGAGCAGACCCCTCGGGCGGCCGGGGCGGAGCAGACCCCTCGGGCGGCCGGGGCGGTGAAGACCCCTCGGGCGGCCAGGGCGAAGCAGACCCCTCGGGCGGCCAGGGCGGTGGCTCAGGCTCTGGAACAGCAAACACCGGCTCAGGAACAGCAGACACCGGCTCAGGAACAGCAGACACCGGCTCAGGAACAGCAGACACCGGCTCAGGAACAGCAGACACCGGCTCAGGAACAGCCACAAGAACTGTAACAGTCACAAAAACAGACACAAACACAGAAACAAATACTGGCTCTGGAACAGGCACCGGCTCTGGAACAGACATTGGCTCCAGCTCTGGGACGGGCACTGGCTCTGCCTCCGGCTCTGGAACGGGTATTGGCTCTGCCTCCGGCTCTGGAACGGGCAATGGCTCTGCCTCCGGCTCTGGAACAGCAGACACTGGCTCCGGCTCTGGAACAGCAGACACTGGCTCCGGTCCTGGAACAGCAGACACTGGCTCCGGTCCTGGAACAGCAGACACTGGCTCCGGCCCTGGAACAGCAGACACTGGCTCCGGCTCGGGAACAGGAGACACGGGCATGTCCAGGATCCGAGCCAGACGCTCCAGATAGTCCAGGTCCATGAAGGCAGACGGCACTGGCTCTGCCTCCGGCTCTGGAACGGGTACTGGCTCTGCCTCCGGCTCTGGAACGGGCACTGGCTCTGCCTCCGGCTCAGGAACGGGCACTGGCTCTGCCTCCGGCTCTGGAACGGGCACTGGCTCTGCCTCCGGCTCTGGAACGGGCACTGGCTCTGCCTCCGGCTCTGGAACGGGCACTGGCTCTGCCTCCGGCTCTGGAACGGGCACTGGCTCTGCCTCCGGCTCTGGAACGGGCACTGGCTCTGCCTCCGGCTCTGGAACGGGCACTGGCTCTGCCTCCGGCTCTGGAACGGGCACTGGCTCTGGCTCCGGCTCTGGAACAGCAGACACTGGCATGTCCAGGATCCGAGCCAGACGCTCCAGATAGTCCAGGACCATGAAGGGAGACGGAACGTGAACAGTCTCTGACTGGGCAGACGGGACGTGAACAGTCTCTGACTGGGCAGACGGGAGTTGAACAGTCTCTGACTGGGCAGACGGGACGTGAACAGTCTCTGACTGGGCAGACGGGACGTGAACAGTCTCTGACTGGGCAGACGGGACGTGAACAGTCTCTGACTGGGCAGACGGGACGTGAACAGTCTCTGACTGGGCAGACGGGACGTGAACAGTCTCTGACTGGGCAGACGGGACGTGAACAGTCTCTGACTGGGCAGACGGGACGTGAACAGTCTCTGACTGGGCAGACGGGACGTGAACAGTCTCTGACTGGGCAGACGGGACGTGAACAGTCTCTGACTGGGCAGACGGGACGTGAACAGTCTCTGACTGGGCAGACGGGACGTGAACAGTCTCTGACTGGGCAGACGGGACGTGAACAGTCTCTGACTGGGCAGACGGGACGTGAACAGTCTCTGACTGGGCAGACGGGACGTGAACAGTCTCTGACTGGGCAGACGTGACGTGAACAGTCTCTGACTGGGCAGACGTGACGTGAACAGCCTCTCGCTGGGCAGACGTGACGTGAGCAGTCTCTCGCTGGGCAGACGTGACGTGAGCAGTCTCTCGCTGGGCAGACGTGACATGAACAGTCTCCGAATGGACAGGCGCATGTCTCCTCCTCCTCCTCCGTCCCTTCTGACGGATATGCGCAGACTCGGGGCTGGCTAAAACCATCGACGGAGTACCAACACTGGACGGATCCAGTGACAATGATTTTCTTTCCGAAGAGGCCAGTGGAGAAGACTCTGCTGCCCTCCTCTCCTCATTCCTTTGAGCGCACAGGGAGAAATATTTTAAAAGAGAAATCCCATTCTCCCTTTCTGCAGGACAAAGTTCGCTCCGCTGAATCCACATAATGGCTCGTTCGTTCTGTCACGGTGCGTGGTGTGGAATAAATCCGTGGATTCAAGTGCAGAGTAAGAAATATTTAATAAGGACCAAAACATAAAATAAACAAAAGAAAACTACAACGTACAACCTTAATCCAGAACAAACAAGGCAGGGCAGGAACAGAACTCAACACGACGAATACACGTAACAAATACAACGAACGAGCACAGGACAGCAAACACAGGAAGACTAAATAGGAAGGCAAATAAGGTGGGTAACGAGGATAACAGGTGGGACAAATAAACCAATAATCAGATAACAAGGGGGAGGGACCAGACAATAACAAGAGCACATGGCCCAACATAACAAAACACTCAAGTGCATAACCAAGACAGGACAGACATGTGACATTGATCCTCCAAAAATCATTCTAATATGCTGATCTGTTACTCAGTTGTCAGTTATTAATGTTATTAAACAGTTGAGCTGCTTAATATTTTTTGTGGAGCCTGTGATACTTTTTTTTATACAGCATTTATTCAAAATATAAATATTTTCGAACAATATAAATATTTACTATAATCTTTTATCAATTTAACACATCCTTGCTGAATAAAAGTTGTAATTTCTTTACAAAAAAGGATGAAAAAAAATACTGACCCCAAACTTTTTAACTTTAGTGTATATTGTTACAAAAGATTTCTATTTTAAAAAATGCTATTCTTTTTTAACTTTTTATTCATTAAAAAATCCTGAAAAAAAGTATCACAGGTTATAAAAAATTATATTAAGCAGCACAAATGTTTCCAACATTGATAATAAATCAGCATTAGAATGATTTCTGAAGGATAATGACTGGGTTAATGGCTGATGAAAATTCAGCTTTGCATCACAAAAATTAATTATATATTACGATAGAAAAAACATTATTTTAAATTGTAATAATATTTCACAATATTACAGTGTTTTTTTCTGTATTTTTTATCAAATACATGCAGGCTTGAAGAGCATAAGAGACTTTTTTCAAAAACATACAAAAATAAATATTTCCAAATTTTGACCGGTATTGTATTTTTAAGGCAGTTGTAGTGTAACAAAAAAGAAAAGATTAAAATGTAGGGTCATAAAAATGCCCAAATTATTATTTTCTCTTAAAGGAATAGTTCACTCAAATCTAAGCACAGTTTGAGATCTTTACTCTAGGCATTTATTTTTTTGTCAGGAAAACATCTTAGAAGGTGGTGCTTTCAGCAGAGGTCCTGATTTGCTCTTTATTTAGCCTCATTTCCATTACGGAGAAATGAGATGTTAAAGAGCTCTCATGCGTGATGTTTCTTTCCTCTCCAGCACTGGATGACGGAGTTGGAGATTTTTGCGATGCTTTTCGCCGCTGCCGTCCACGACTACGAACACACCGGGACCACAAACAACTTCCACATCCAGACCAGGTAACGCATGAGAGAACTGGGTGAGTCATCCATCAGACCGGCACAAAACCTCAACATGAGCCGGCTGAATGAAAGACGGAGAAAGATGACCAAAACCTGACCTGGGACAAATTACAAAAACACAGTTTTGATAAGGTTTTTTTTTTCTCCCCTGGTTTCCTCGTGTCAGTGAATTGGTTTGTGGGTTTATTTGTATGAAGTACTGTTGTAAAAAGTTTGGGGTTGATACGACTACACAAAATATTTTTGAAAGAAGTCTCTTTCAAAGCCTGCATTTATTTGACCAAAAATACAGTGAAACAGAAATATTGTGAATATATTATTACAATTTAAAATAACAGTTCCCTTTCGTAGTCACTCCGAGTTACGTCGGATGACGGAGAATGGGGGGTTTCGCCAGAAAGCCTATCATCTTCGAGTATTAAAAAACGAGCCTATGGCAATGAAATGCCATGGGTCTGCGGAATTTGCATAATGTATCTCCGCCCCACCGCGTGGGTATTTAAGGAGAGACACCTGCAACAGCAGATCATGTTTTCGCTTCGGAGCCAAGAGCATCTCTTCACTCCACAAGCCAAATCCTGAGTTTTCTCAGTGACTACATCTCTTCGAGACGAGCGAACTCTCCGGTGTTGGTGTGACGGCGGTATCCAGCGAGTTTCACATTGCCTGCGAGCTGAGCAGTGGTCTGCCAGTCTGTGTGTTCTCCCTGGTCGCTTCAACATCCGCGGAGTTTTTCCTCTCACTAAAGAGCTGCACGCGGCACGTCTTTTTAAAGACGCTTCTTTCTAAAGACGATCTGCCCGTGTTTTTCTGAGTGTGGTATTCTGATAGATTCAGCTGATGGGCGCGAGCGCTGTTTTGAGTGTTTGGGCTTTGATCGCGCTCAGACAGCGCTCGTGGGTGTGTCACGTTCTCTCACTGGGAACGTGACCATCGCAATGTAACGGTCGAGACTCGATGAGCTCAATGAGTGAGAGTCCCCTCATCCACACCCCGATCTATTTTTCTCCACGTGAGATAATACTTCGGCTGGTGGCCAGGGTGACCTAAGACGGCAGGTTTGGAACTAAACCGACGAAAAATTCCTCGGTCCACACCCCGTCTTTCACATTGCAACCTGCGTGGTCCCAGGTGAGTTCGCCGGCCCGCCCGCGGGCCCGCGGTCTCATTCGGTCCCCTGGCTGATGAAATCATGTATCACCGCATCACAAGGTGAGCTGGAGTCCTCTAGAGATGATGGCTCGTCTGTGCTGCCGTCCTCGGATGTGCTAGCATAACGAGTTTGATCCAGAGTGCACAGCTATGCTTCCCGGGCTGCCGCGAGTATCGGGCTTGTGTGGAACCTTCTGCCATGTCCCGAGCACTTAAGGCTGTTGATTGGTTTTTGGGGGTGGCGAACCCAAATCCATTCTACCCGGACGTGCATGAAGAGATCATGAGATCGTGGAAGTCTCCTTGACTTTTCGCGACTGCTCAGTGGCCTCTTCCGCCTTCTCTGCCCTTGTAGAGGCCGCGGCCTAGGGTGCACTGGGGTTCCCCCTGTGGAGTGTTCTGTGGCAACACTTATGTGTCCCCACAGCGCCTCCACCTGGCGTTGCGACTCTTAGGCACCCCTCCAATGCCTGTAGGTTCTTGTCTACTCCGGTGGCGGGGACCTATAGAACTGCGGGGCAGGCTGCCACCTCACTGCGTGTTATTGCCATCCTCCTGGGTGTTCAATGACATGCACGAGGGTAGGGCTGATTCAGGGCTCATCCTTGAGCTGCCTGCCGTCACCGACCTTGCTCTCCGAGCGACGTAGGTGACCGCACGCTCCCTGAGTCAGGTGATGTCCACATAGGTGGTCAGACACCTCTGGCTAACCTGGTTGATGTGCGCGAGGCTGAGTGATTTCGTTTCCTCAACTCCCCCATATCCCAGGCTGGCCTCTTCGGCGGCGCAGTCGAGGACTCTGCCCAACAGTTCTCGGCCGCCCAGAAGTGGACTGTGGCTATTTTGTCTGACCCCGCGGCTTTGCTGCCTCCAGCTGCCGGCTCATACGCCTCAGTCCGCTTGCTGCCGAATGCGCCCTCCTGCGACTTCCGCCCCCTCCCGCCCGGCCCCCAGCAGCACCGGGCCGCGCCGTGGAGGTGGTCGCAGGAAGGCGCCCCTGCCCGTACCAGTCCCGCAGCCCCGCCAAGGCCAGGCTTGCGGCGCTCCCGTTAGGGGCAGCTCAGATGTGGGTTGCAGTTCTTTAGGGAGTGGTTGCAGGGCCACTCCTTCCCCCGGTGGAGGGCTGGGGGAGAATCTATTCTAAACCAAAGAGCTGCATCCCATCTCTGAGCCCTCAGAGGGCCGGACGACAGTGCGCGACGCTCCCGGGCCTTGCCGCTCTCGTCCCCCTCTGTCTCTGAGGGCGCGGATGACAGTGTGTGCCGTCTCCGGACCACACCACTCTCGTCCCCCTCTGTCGCCAGACCCCTGGCAGAGCAGACCCCCATGGAACGCTGGTCCTTCCCTGGTCTCCTCTGTCAGGACGCGGAGCATGACCGTGCCCCCGCACCGGGCCGCTATGCCACCCACGCCTGGGCCGGTCACTCCGCTTCGCTGCCCCTCCGGGGGGACGTCTGTCGTTCGGATGTTTCCGCTGGTTCAGTTCTTGGGGGCTTGGTTAGAGCTTCCCTACCTGTCCCGCTGGGTCGCCCGAACTATCAGGCTCGGCTATGCGATCCAATTCGCACGGTCTCCTCCCCGCTTCAGGGGAGTCCGTTTACTTTGGTCGGTGGCAATGCCCCGATCATGAGAGCGGAGGTTGCCACCCTGCTGGCGAAGGGTGCAATCGAGACTGTCCCTCCAGCCGAAATGAGGTCAGGGTTTTACAGCCCGTACTTCATTGTCCCCAAGAAGACCGGTGGGTTACGGCCAATCCTGGATCTGCGCGTCTTGAGCCGCTCCCTTCACAGGCTGCCGTTCAGGATGCTCACGACCAAACGCATTTTCGAATGCGTGCGGCCACAGGATTGGTTTGCAGCGATAGACCTGAAGGACGCCTACTTTCATGTCTCCATTTTACCTCGACTCAGACCGTTTCTTCGGTTTGCTTTCGAGGGGCAGGCATACCAGTACGCAGTTCTCCCATTCGGGTTGGCTCTGTCTCCTCGCGTCTTTACGAAGGTCGTCGAGGCAGCCCTTGTTCCCCTGCGCAAACACGGGGTTCGCATCCTGAATTACCTCGACGACTGGCTAATATTAGCTCACTCTCGAGTCCAGGTTTGTGAACACAGAGACCTAGTGCTCCGGCACCTAGCCCGTCTGGGCCTTCGGGTCAACTGGGAGAAGAGCAAACTTTGCCCCGTGCAGAGGATCTCTTTTCTCGGTATGGAGATAGACTCGGTCGCCATGTCCGCGCAGCTTTCGAGCGAGCGCGCACACTCACTGCTGACTTGTCTTCGCCAGTTCGAGGGCAAGAGTGCGGTCCCACTGAAACTTTTTCAGAGGCTCCTGGGGCATATGGCATCCGCAGCCGCGGCAACGCCACTCGGATTGCTTCATATGAGACCGCTTCAGCTGTGGCTTCGCGATCGGGTCCCGAGGTGGGCATGGCATCGCGGTACGCTCAGAGTTCCAATAACTCCGACCTGCCATCAGTCCTTCACCCCGTGGCGGAACCTCAGCTTTCTACAGGCCGGAGTTCCCCTAGAACGAGTTTCCAGGCATGTTGTTGTCTCCACAGATGCCTCTGCCATGGGCTGGGGCGCCATGTGCAATGGACATGCAGCCGCGGGCTCCTGGACAGGACCCCAGCGCCTCATGCATGTCAATTGCCTCGAGTTGCTGGCAGTACGCCTTGCCCTGCACCGCTTCCACGCGCTGCTCCAGGGTCAACACGTACTTGTCCGTCCGGACAATACCGCGACAGTAGCGTACATCAACCATCAGGGTGGTCTACGCTCTCGCCGTATGTCGCAACTCGCACGCCACCTCCTCTTATGGAGTCAGAAGCACCTGAGGTCCCTTCGTGCTATTTACATTCCAGGAGAGCGGAACCTTGCAGCCGACGAGCTGTCACGGCTCCGGCCAACCTCTGGCGAATGGCGACTCCATCCCCAGTCGGTCCAGCTGATATGGGACCAGTTCGGGGACGCACAGATATATCTGTTTGCCTCCCACGACTCATCCCATTGCGCCCTGTATTACTCCCTGACCGAGGGCACGCTCGGCACGGATGCACTGGCGCACAGCTGGCCGCAGGGCCTACGCAAATATGCGTTTCCCCCAGTGAGCCTTCTCGCACGGACTCTGTGCAAGATCAAGGTGGACGAGGAGCAGGTCATATTGGTCGCCCCATACTGGCCCACCAAGACCTGGTTCTCCGAACTGGTACTCCTCGCGACAGCACCTCCTTGGCCAATTCCTCTGAGGAAGGACCTCCTTTCTCAGAGACGGGGCACCCTATGGCACCCTCGTCCCGATCTTTGGAGACTCCACGTGTGGCTCCTGGACGGGACGAGGCAGGTTTGAGTACCCTGCCACCTGTGGTGGCGGCTACCATCACTTCCGCTAGAGCGTTGTCCACGAGACACGTCTACACGTTGAAGTGGAACCTCTTCGTCAACTGGTGCTCTTCTCGGCGAGAAGACCCCAGGAGATACTCGATTGGTGTCGTGCTTTCCTTTCTGCAAGACGGGCTGGAGTGAAGGCTGTCTCCCTCCACCCTGAAGGTGTATGTGGCCGCTATCGCCGCTTATCACGATGCAGTTGAAGGTAAGTCTCTGGGAAAGCACGACCTGATCATCAGGTTCCTGAGAGGAGCGAGGAGACTGAATCCTCCTCGCCCTCCTCTCGTACCCTCTTGGGACCTCTCAGTGGTCTTATATGCCCTGCAGAGGGCTCCCTTTGAGCCTCTGCAATCAGTGGAGATTAAGTTCCTGTCAATAAAGACAGCCCTCCTGGTTGCACTGGCCTCCATCAAGAGGTTGGGGGATCTGCACGCACTCTCCGTTGACGAAGCGTGCCTGGAATTCGGGCCGGCCTGCTCTCACGTGATCCTGAGACCCCGGCCTGGATATGTGCCCAAGGTTCCCACCACTTCCTTCCGGGACCAGGTGGTGAACCTGCAAGCGCTGCCCCTGGAGGAGGCAGACCCAGCCTTGACACTTCTCTGTCCAGTACGTGCCCTCTGTGCTTACGTAGACAGGACGCAGTGTTTCAGGACCTCAGACCAGCTCTTTGTCTGTTATGGTGGGAAGCTGAAGGGAAAGGCTCTCTCCAAGCAAAGGTTATCCCACTGGATAGTGGACGCCATTTCTTTGGCATACCAGCAGCAAGGTCGACCGTGCCCCCTTGGTGTGACCGCCCACTCCACCCGGAGTGTAGCGTCCTCTTGGGCTTTAGCGCGTGGCGCCTCGTTAACTGACATCTGCAGAGCTGCAGGCTGGGCGACACCCAACACATTCGCCAGATTTTACAATCTCTGAGTGGAGCCAGTCTCCGCCCATGTACTGTCTTTTTCAAGCTAACATGGGAGCCGTTAGGTGTCTCGCTTGCTCGCCATTCCAATCCACGGACTGGATACGTGCGATATTTCCTCAGGTAGCCTTCCTCTCTGAAGCCCTGAGTTCCTCCAGCACTGTTGACGCTGGCGCCAGTGTCTATTGCCTGTGCGTCGGCTAGGTGCCTCCGTGTGCATGGTTCCTCCTCTGAGTAACCCCCACATGTGTATTTCCACTGTAAGCCTCTTTGAGCATGTGTCTTTCCCTCGGCAAGCCACCTTGCCACTCCTGGAGTTGAAAGTTGCCACCCCACGGGCTGGTCACTCCAGTGTTCCTCCATATGAAGCCCCCTCGGCCATATGTGTATTCTTAAGTCCTCCCTATGTGTAAGCATGCTGTGGCATATCTCCCCTGAGATATGCTTCCCAGTGTACCTTGGTATTCCTGTGTTAAGTAGGACTCCTTCGTCCGTGCCTATATCACGACAGGGAGGTCAGACTTCGCAGGGCACTGGAAGACAGCTGTGAAGGTGGCGTGATTACACGGGGACCCCCATTCTCCGTCATCCGACGTAACTCGGAGTGACTACGAAAGGGAACGTCTCGGTTACGGATGTAACCCTCGTTCCCTGAGTAGGGAACGGAGACGTTACGTCTCCCTGCCACTTCCGCTGTACCGCTGGGTAGACGCCTGAGTTCATTCTCGGCTCCTCAGCGAAGACATGATCTGCTGTTGCAGGTGTCTCTCCTTAAATACCCACGCGGTGGGGCGGAGATACATTATGCAAATTCCGCAGACCCATGGCATTTCATTGCCATAGGCTCGTTTTTTTATACTCGAAGATGATAGGCTTTCTGGCGAAACGCCCCATTCTCCGTCATCCGACGTAACAAAAATAAATATATTCACATAGAAAACGTCTCGGTTACGGATGTAACCCTCGTTCCCTGAGTAGGGAACGGAGACGTTTTCTATGTGAATATATTTATTTTTGTGACTTATTTCCGCATCATTACTCCAGTCTTCAGTGTCACATGATCCTTGAGAAATCATTCTAATATGCTGATTTGCTGCTCAAGAAACATTTCTGATTATTATCAGATTATTATATTATGTTGAAAACAGTTGTGCTGCTTCATATTTTTGTGGAAACCATAATAATTTTTTTTTTGAGGGTTACTTGTTGTATAGAAAAAGGGAAATTGTGTGTATTGAGTTTCCACTCGCTCCTTCAGGTCGGACACAGCCATCCTGTACAACGACCGCTCTGTTCTGGAGAGTCATCACGTCAGCGCTGCGTATCGACTGCTTCAGGACGACGACGAGATGAACATCCTGTACAACCTCTCCAAAGATGACTGGAGGTACAGCACCATTTCACATCCATCATTCTATACTTTTTCCTCATTATCTCACTTCTTTTGTGTCCAGAGAACAGACAAACTGACAGTTTCACATCAATTTTCTATAACTGCAATATCATGATATGCAGGGCTCCAGACTAACTTTTTGCCTTGGTTGCACTGGTGCGCCTAACTTTTTTATTTAGGTGCACCAGCACAAAATTTAGGTGCACTCAATTTTTTCCTCGTCTCGCGTCGCCTTTAACGCCACAATTTCAAGGTCACCTTTTTATCACGCTCCATATACATTCATATATATTATGTAAATGCTTTTAAACAAGAATAAGGTGTAGTTTTTTATTATTATTTGAAGCACAATTATACTGTCTATATAAAAATATAAATCTTTAAAAAAAATAAAATTAAAGTGCTGTTTTACATTGTTCAAGTTAGGGCAGGGTATTGACACAAATTTCACAATTCGATTCAATATTGATTATTTTGGATATCAGGTACAATACATGGCAAATTTCCCCTAGAAAAACAAATCTTAACTAATGCTGTAAACTGGGAGTCGTAGCCTATAGGCTTCATTAGCCTACTATAATATTGAAGGTAAAAATTACCTGATTTGTACACAAACACTTAAATTACACTTATTTATTTTTAAAATAATAAAGTTATATGAAATATAAACATTTAAATGGTGGCTGCATAAAAACTTTTCTAGCTAGCTAACGAGTTTATGGTCACTGGAAATGTTTTTTCTGAGGTAAATGTGACGTTACATTACATTGTTTACAAGCGTTTTACTGACGTCTTTCCACGGTTGAAACACTGATTGAGCGATTCCATGTGACATGATACGGATTTCGATAAGTTGTAGCCTACTCTATCTTTTAACACACTTTCAGATGCGTTCATGTTTATTTCGCGCTGTAACTGGTATTATTAAGGCGGAGGAGGAGATCATGTGCGTTCCGCGCTGCTGCTTCTCTTGAGCTGAGCCAGAGCGATCTCACGCCACAGCGCCAAAACGGTATTTATGTTTTTGAATTTCGTAAGAAAATTGACCTAATTTGAAATCTGAGACTTTGTTTCAAATCAATAGTAACAAAGCACAAAGATTATTGCGATTTATTGGATGGGATGCTCGCTACAATGTTCCATTCATTCATCAACTGAAAACAGCATAGCCCAACGGTTCGTAAAAATCAATGAGAATCGATTAAAATCGAGAAAGCAATATTTTTTTTACCTAGTTCAAGTTTCTTCGTCGTCTGTTTTCTTGCGTTTATTTAGCTGATGCTGCTGATTGCCGTAACTGATTCTCTGGTGCTCAGGTGACAGGTCGCAACCAAGGGGGTAATCCATCAGCCGGAAGTTGAAGCTGCCTCCGGGGCCGCCATTGTAGCTGGCTATCACCTGCTGTTAGCATCCCATTGACTCCCATTCATTTTGGCGTCACTTTGACAGCGAATAACTTTACATCTGAGGCGTCCAAAGACTCCATTTGTCCATTAATTATTTCTAAAGAAACACGACAATGTATAAAAGGCTCCATTACTTTGTATCTTAGGTTATGGCCCCGTAGAAGCCATTCTTGTAAAAATAGGCTAACGATTGCGTCATAACCACGGGACGCTCTGTCGCACAGTAGAGAAATTACCGTATAGACAGAAGTAGAAGCTCGTAGGCAATCTTTAACTGTCTATGAGGCAATCGGGTGGACATGGAGGCATAAAGTCAAGGGAGAAGCCCATAGATAGAGAGTTCATAAAAGCAACGGGACAAAATATTTCAACAACAGATTTGTTTCAGATTTCAATTCAGATTTATCCCGGCACAGCTACTAGAAGGTCAGAACGGTTGCTCACGTGACAACTACGTCGTCAAGCTCAGTTTGAGCCTGCGCAGTGCGCTTGGCTATCAGGAAGTGAGTGCCCATTATGGGCTTCAACTCTCTCCGTTGAAATCAACGGGGTCGCTGTGTCCATTTCTTTTACTGTCTATGGTCGCAATTTATTTCAATCACACAGCACGGAGCATTTTAGTCCTACAGGAATATCTGAACCACAGCCAATCAGAGGCAAAGACCCGCCCAATCTCTATCTCTGATTGGTTTAGACCACGATATGATCCAACCATGCGTGCAAGGAGAACAAAAGACTCGTTTGTGGAGAGGCAGCGGATGCGATCATGCGAGGACGTTAGGTTCACTGGTGCGACCTAGGAAAAATTTTCGTCGCACCGTTACAAATTTTGGTCGCATGTGCGACCAAATTGGTCGCACTCTAGAGCCCTGATATGTCATAGTAACTGGGTGTTTTTCCAAGTATGGGTACTTTTATGTACCAGAGGTTGATTTTTATTAAAACTTGCAGATTTCCGCTTTTTTCTTCTTTTTTTTTAAATAAGGTCTCGTTCATTTATTCATTCAAACTTAAAGCCACACTCTCAAAAATATATAGTTTATGTATATATATACAGCAGCATATACTGTGTGTATATACACTCACCTAAAGGATTATTAGTTACACCATACTAATACTGTGTTTGACCCCCTTTCGCCTTCAGAACTGCCTTAATTCTACGCGGCATTGATTCAACAAGGTGCTGAAAGCATTGTTTAGAAATGTTGGCCCATATTGATAGGATAGCATCTTGCAGTTGATGGAGATTTGTGGGATTCCCATCCAGGGCACGAAGTTCCCGTTCCACCACATCCCAAAGATGCTCTATTGGGTTGAGATCTGGTGACTGTGGGGGCCATTTTAGTACAGTGAACTCATTGTCAAGAAACTAAAGAAACCAATTTGAAATGATTCGAGCTTTGTGACATGGTGCTATATCCTGCTGGAAGTAGCCATCAGAGGATGGGTACATGGTGGCCATAAAGGGATGGACATGGTCAGAAATAATGCTCAGGTAGGCCGTGGCATTTAAACGATGCCCAATTGGCACTGAGGGGCCTAAAGTGTGCCGAGAAAACATCCCCCACACCATTACACCACCACCACCAGCCTGCACAGTGGTAACAAGGCATGATGGATCCATGTTCTCATTCTGTTTACGCCAAATTCTGACTCTACCATCTGAATGTCTCAACAGAAATCGAGACTCATCAGACCAGGCAACATTTTTCCAGTCTTCAACTGTCCAATTTTGGTGAGCTCTTGCAAATTGTAGCCTCTTTTTCCTATTTGTAGTGGAGATGAGTGGTACCCGGCGGGGTCTTCTGCTGTTGTAGCCCATCCGCCTCAAGGTTGTGCGTGTTGTGGCTTCACAAATGCTTTGCTGCATACCTCGGTTGTAACGAGTGGTTATTTCAGTCAAAGTTGCTCTTCTATCAGCTTGAATCAGTTGGCCCATTCTCCTCTGACCTCTAGCATCAACAAGGCATTTTCGCCCACAGGACTGCCGCATACTGGATGCTTTTCCCTTTTCACACCATTCTTTGTAAACCCTAGAAATGGTTGTGCGTGAAAATCCCAGTAACTGAGCAGATTGTGAAATACTCAGACCGGCCCGTCTGGCACCAACAACCATGCCACGCTCAAAATTGCTTAAATCACCTTTCTTTCCCATTCTGACATTCAGTTTGGAGTTCAGGAGATTGTCTTGACCAGGACCACACCTCTAAATGCATTGAAGCAACTGCCATGTGATTGGTTGATTAGATAATTGCATTAATGAGAAATTGAACAGGTGTTCCTAATAATCCTTTAGGTGAGACACACACACACACACACACACACACACACACACACACACACACACACACAGTGTTGTGTTAAGTTACTCTAAAAAGCAATTACTTGCTATTTCAAAAGTATAATTAGATTACTGTAGTAATTACTCTCTAAAAAGTATTGGATTACTTATTACTAATTATTTTCTAAATCCCATATCAACCTCAACCAGTCGAACAATACAAGGATAGACATGAAACTGCTCTTTTAATTCTTTCAAATAAACAATATACAATTGCATAAATTCTTGAAATGAGCAAAATGTGTAAAGGGAGAAGGTTACATTAAAAACTTACATTTTATAATTAGATATAAATTTTTTATATTAAATCCACTATTGTTTTATATAGATTTGTGCTATAGTTTATACAGTATTTAATGCAATTACAGTAAAATTACTTTTAATTAATTACTTTTAAAGTAATTAATGTTTTATTACAGTTATAATTACTTGGTTATTAATTACACCAACACTGTGTGTTTATATATATATATGTATATATATATATATATTGTCAAATTATGCTAAATGTGTGAAAAATATTGAATTGGATGTTTAATTGGGTGTATAGATATATAAAATGCTAGCTGTCAAATTGGCCTTAGCCAGACAAAGAAGTTGGTTTAGAAAAGTTACAAAAATAAAAAAGTGAACGGGTTTTAAAGTGCTATAATTTTAAGAGACTAAATGCGCCGAGTTGAAGAAACACCCAACAAAGGGCCAGATTTACTAACAGCTCAGCTCGCTCCAGCGCAAAGCCTCTTTTGGCGTTAAAAAACTACTGTCAGGATTCACTAAAGACACGCAGTGAAAAATGAGCGCCGAAAAGGCGTGGACGGGGTTATTTTTGTGGCTGACCTTATTGCATATGCATTTGTAGGAGTTTCCCATTCAGACGCAACATTTATGGGAGGAGAATATTTAAATGAATCATGCAAGGTGATTTACTAAGGTTTGCGCTAGTCAATTCACTGTTTTTTGCGCCATTATTTAACGTTCAAAAAGCACGTCTATAACCAGATGCTAATTGGTAGATTGCATTGGTCATTATAGAAATGATCCGGCTGTGTCTGTGTTCTTTAATTTACTATTGTTCTTTTAATCAGTAGATCATGCGCAGAACTTTCCACTCCCATCTGCACTGTTTTGGGCTAATCTGCCCTCTTTAGTAAATCTGGCCCAAAAAGTGCTGAAAGTGTTTTTTTTTTTTTTACATTCTCACTGTGCTATTTTAAACTAAACACAACAAATAAAGAAAGTCTGAAGTCCTGTGAAGTTTTACTGCAAGACAGAGATGGAAATTATTTATTTCTCATTCAGAAAGAAAGGGTTATCCTCACACTTTGAAGCGGTGAGGAGATTCAGTGCTGGTGTTTTGTGTGCTTGTGTTTTCAGAGAGCTCAGGGCGCTCGTGGTCGAGATGGTTCTGGCCACTGACATGTCCTGCCACTTCCAGCAGGTCAAAGCCATGAAGAATTTCCTCCAGCTGCCCGAGGGGTGAGAAACCTTGACAAACACACATCCGACCTGCTTCTCTGTTGTCCCGTCACCTTTTGCTTTGTCTGTGTCTCCCCAGAGCAAGATGTTATTAGTTAGAGGTTGTTCTTTCAAAGCAGTAGAGACTTTATTAAGATTGATGTTTCTCCTATTCCTTAAGAGAAATAAAAATAGACAAATGATACGGAGTAAAATATAGAGCTGTAAAATGAATGCAGATCAGATAATTTGATGCAAAATGTTTGAGTTCTTATTGGGATCTTTTGATTAAAGACTTTCTTATTTTGGCAAATCTGAGCACTTAGCTGTGTTTTTCAGGTATCTTCTGAAACTAGAGAGATTACTGTGGACTTTTTCTCAGTAGAAACATCTGAAAAGCACAAATTTGCTCTCCGTTTAATCTCGTTGTCGTGTCAGAACAAAAACATATTTACCATTCGAATTGGTGTGTTTTCTTCACCCAGAATTGATAAACCCAAGGCTCTGTCTCTGCTGTTGCACGCGGCCGACATCAGTCATCCAGCCAAGAACTGGGATCTGCACCATCGCTGGACCACGTCACTGCTGGAGGAGTTTTTCCGACAGGTTTGACTCATGTTTGTTCTTCAGATCCGTTCGGCAGGTGTATGCGCTTGTACGTATGTGTGAGACGAAGCAAGAAAAATCTCATCTTGCACTATGTATTTTAATCCTCTCTCGGTTTCGCTTCCTGTTCTCTTCTGATTGCCCTTTCATCCAATCACACGCAAGCCTGCGCCAGGGTTATCATAGGCTGCAGAAACGAGAGCATGTGGAGAAATGTGTCATTTGAGATTGTTTACACCTGAACATAACCCTCTGAAAATAACTGGCTTTCACGGCCCTATCGAATGCAGGTCCCGAAATTAAACTTTGGCATGATCATGTGAACAGCACTTTGCTCATCTTTTAAACATCACAGTTATGTCAAATACATGTATTTTATAATACAAAAATTGTGTCAGAAAGTGCCCCATTATGCTTTTTCAGATATTCCCTTTCATGCAGTGTGTAATATAGCTGTTTGTGAATGTAAAAGTTCTGCAAAGTTTTAAAGATCAAAGCGCACAAGAAGTACTGCACAAAAAACTGCCAAGACGAGTCGTCAGTAATTCCAAATTTGCATAATTCTAGTCTACGGTCTTCATTGGCTGCCTGTGAACAACGTTTACTTTGACCCTCAAACACTGTAGTTGTTGTAGCTGAGACTGGAAGAGTCTGGTTCGTGTTGTCGACATGTCGAGGAGACTCTGTTTCAGCACTGCAAATCCACTTTACATGCACTTCAAACGGATGAGGAATTGATACGTTAAAACCGACGTCATCATTACTATTCGTGTCACTGTTTGTGTACCCCACATGCCAGCTAACCAATGAGAACGCGGGAGAATGATGACGATACATAACAACAGACCAAAGCTGTCGTGGATCCTCTCACCTGAAACCCTCCGCAAATGGCAGATTTGAAGAAAACTATCAGCGTTTGGCAAATAAATAAACGATGGACAGTTCGTGTTACATTTTATCGCGTAAGCTTTATGGTACACATCAAACAAGGGAATTTCTAGTAATCTATAGTGTTAATATTAATTAGCGAGTCCACGAATGGCTTGGGTGTGCAGAGCATTCGCAGCTTATATGGACTGCACCTGCCCCTGAAATATATTATATATAATTAATGACTGTCAAAATAGGCCCAATGCACTTATGGACTCTGTCTGTCTCTGTTGCTTTGTAAAGTGAACAATGGAAGGGAGTTGCTTTCTCTGTATTACCTCCTGATCTTACCCGTCATGTGTCTGTTTATCTGCTACCAAAGTGACTGTAATAAAGCACATTCACAGCTCTATTCTCCATAGAGTGGGCTTCATAAATATGCTTTGATTGATTGACAGATTAGAGGATGGGGGCTATTCCTGTGTGTGAGCTATTCGTGTGTGTGTGTGTGTGTGTGTGTGTGTGTGTGTTTGTTTGTGTGAGTGTTTGTCTAGTATTGTTCCAGCAGCTGTACACACCAGGAGGCAGATCAATCATAACAGGCTGAACATAAAAGCTTGACAGTTTATTTTAGTCTGCCTTCAAATAATGTTTACGAATATTTACTATATGAAAAAAATATTTCTGAACCAGACCCAGAGCTGCAACTGTCCACCGCGTCATTTCATGAGCATTTAGCTGGATTCAGACAGGCTAGTATCAGGCCACAGACTGCTGACATTGCTTATATTGAGTAAGGTTATGGGGGCTCAGAAATATAACATTTAACTCCCATTTCAAGATGTATCAGTCTGTAGGGCTGTACGTGGCACTTTCCACAAATATGCTACACTTTGGCACTACTTTATAAGTTTCAGAGTCTCAAATGACAGTTTATCAAATTATGTTAATAAATTATTAGTTAAAGGTGCAGTGTGTAGATTTTAGCGGCATCTAGTGGTTCGGTTGCGAGTTGCACTAATGGCTCAGCCCACTGCTCACCCCTCCCTTTCGAAGAAGCTACGGTTGCTAAAACGGGACAAACATATCGTCGTCTGAGACAGCAGAGAATAGCCAGAGTAAGCCAAGTTTCTGTACCACAGTCCATTATAAACCACATCATGGATAAAGTTTACAAAGCTATAGTCAGGCATAGCCAAAGGTGAGGATCAAGGGTCTTAATATATAATATAATAATAGTAATCAGCTGATTGTCTCACGAACGTAACCAGCACATTTCTCCCCACATACCAAACCCATAATACAGCGAGGGAGAAGAACCACATGAAACTATCCAACTACATATTTTTTCTAACAGGGTAGTAAAAGTTTAGCTGGCTAATATGAGCTGTTATGCTGTAGGGCTGTGGCTGAGCTGGTTAAAGCGTAAAGCATTGTTTATACTCGACGCGTCCGCATGAGCACAAAGCCTCCGCATCCCCTAGACATCATTTACTACACACAAATTAATAAATAATAATGAATACAAATATTGTTTTTTTTGTCTCTGGTTTTGAAAACTCTTCGCGATCGACTTAAAATGCTTCCAAGATCGACTTGTCGACCGCGATCGACGGGTTGGTGACTCCTGTAACGTTACTGTTTTACGGTCAATAGTACTAATCAGCTGATTGTCAAAGCCATAACACAGCGAGGGAGACGAAATAAGTTACATGAAACAATCCAACTACATATTTTACACCACTGACAAGGGAAAAGTCACTACTCACACACCGTGGCTAGCCTGTGGCTAGCTTCTAGCTTTCTGCGGCTTCTCTTTCAAGGTATGAACGAAACGCGCTCTGTAGCGCTGTTTGTTCGCTGTCGGCTACGGTAGAAACATGACGTCACAATATGTCGACCTTCATAGAAGGGGGTGCCCGTGGTTATGTACAGTGGTGTGAATAAGTTATTACCCCCATGCTAAAGTTGCCTAAAAAGAGGAATAAAAAATCATCTTTTGGAAATTGATCTTAATGCCTTAATTAGAAAAATGAGGAAAAATCCAACCTTTAAGGACACCAATTTTCTTTGTGTATGAATAATGTATCATAAATAAATAAATGTTCTTCCTTAAAATACAGGGTGCATAAGTCAGGCCCCCCCTATGTTAAATTCCCATAGAGTCAGGCAGATTTTTATTTTTAAAGGCCAGTTATTTCATGGATCCTGGATAATATGCATCCTGATAAAGTTCCCTTGGCCTTTGGAATTAAAATATCCCACATCATCACATTCCCTTCACCATACCTAGAGATTGGCATGATGTTATTTCAGTTAGCCTAATAGCTGGTTTGATTTGCATTGAAAGATGATCTTATGGAAAGTACCCCATGCCAATCTCTAGGTATGGTGAAGGGAATGTGATGATGTGGGTCTATTTTAATTCCAAAGGCCAAGGGAACTTTATCAGGATGCATATTATCCTGGATCCATGAAATAACTGGCCTTTAAAAATAAAAATCTGCCTGACTCTATGGGAATTTAACATAGGGGGGGCCTGACTTATGCACCCTGTATTTTAAGGAAGAACATTTATTTATTTATGATACATTATTCATACACAAAGAAAATTGGTGTCCTTAAAGGTTGGATTTTTCCTCATTTTTCTAATTAAGGCATTAAGATCAATTTCCAAAAGATGATTTTTTATTCCTCTTTTTAGGCAACTTTAGCATGGGGGTAATAACTTATTCACACCACTGTAGATATAAATGTCTCATTCTAAGGTAATAAAAACATAACGGTTCATTGAGTAAGGTCTTTATACACCACTGAACACATAGTTATGGATCTTATATTGCATTTCTGTCAATAGATCCTCAGAAATATTACACATTGCACCTTTAACAAAATAGGTTTTGCTATTTAAATCTAGAGCAAATAAATTAGGGTTTTGAACTGTATTTATGTCTTAATTTTTAGTAACAAACCTTTAAATCTCCGATAGAAAATAAAACCACTAATAAAATATTTAGTTTGATAATCTGCCCTTTTTAATGGAAGACGTAAAGCTTTACACTGTAAGTTGACGAGTTGATTTATCCACGGTTTAATATGCCTCTGGTCATTGAGCTTATTAGATGAATGCCGAGGGTATCATCTGTGATCTCTGACCCAGTTCGTTTGCTGGATTCCATAGCTGTGATGCGCTGTGTTTTACAGCAACTGGTGAATTGTCAGTGGGCGGAATCTCACAGACGAAAACAAAAACAGACATTCCGACACGGAACTCACATTTCAAAGTAGAATTACTGCTTATATTAGAAATAGCATTTTTTTTTTTTTTTTTTTTTTTTTTTGAGAAACAGGTATGTGATCTTAGCATGTTTCCTAAATATCTGAAACATATTATGGTATTTTTATGCTTTAGTTTAATCAAAAAATAAAAATAAATACAGCACTTTTAACTATTTGCTGACAAGAAATAATTATCTTTCTTAATTAGCCCTATTTTGTACACTTTGTTTGTGGAAGGTGCCACATATTTCCTGTGTTGGTTAATGATCGTTCTATATATTTGAAAATTTACACCCTGATACAATACTGTGTAATGCATGAGTATAGCAATGCAGTTGAATGATGTGTTTGTGTTGGCAGGGTGATAAGGAGGCGGAGCTTGGTCTACCTTTCTCCCCTCTGTGTGACCGTAAGTCCACTATGGTGGCCCAATCCCAGATCGGTGAGTGACACAAACACACGCTAAGTGCAGACGCAAATGCTCACAATTAAATCTCAATACTGCAATTGCAAATGTATGAATAATTATGCTAAATTGCAATTACACATTTCAGCTTTAAATTTACCATACTATAGCTGAAACACATGGCTATTTTTATTTGAATATCTTTTTTTAAAATTGAGCTCAGTGCAAAAAATTAACCTTGTAATTTTTCCGTTTTATTGACTGTCATATGCTGGCACAAAAGCTTGCAATTAAATGTAAACATTGCAATTGCAAAACTATGAATTACGCTAAACTCCAATCCTCATATTAAGCTGGAAAAGGGAAACAATGACACCTTTCAGCTTTAAACTTACAATAGCCAAAACACATGGCTATTTTTGAAGATCATGCGTATGTGGATCATTCATTCAAACATTTTCTTTAAATATTGTGCACAAAAATAAGCAATTTCTTTGTCATTTTCTGTAGGTTTCATTGATTTTATCGTTGTTCCCACGTTTACGGTTCTGACGGACATGACGGAGAAGATCGTCACGCCGCTCATTGAAGAGGCCACAAGTTCAGGCCTGGCTGGATTTCGCAGGTCAGAGTCTGGAAGTCTGACTTGTGTTTTCTGCTTCTGCAGTGCAGGAATAGAGATAACGAATGCTCATTAAGACAAACTAGTCAAATTACCGCTCTGGCCGCAATAATAGCTTTCCTTAGTATCGAAACCCAATTCACTGGTTCTATTGCAGTCATTACTGCAAATCCAATTCAGTCCTGATCAGATACCTCAGTTGGATCGTTTAGAAAAAGAGTGAATGTGAGTAAGTGCACTGCTGTTTCTGACCTTTGTAATTCAGTTTAAAGTGATCCATCAGTTCAGACAGGTCTCACTCCACTTTAACACAATTTAAGTTTGAAAGTTTCTTTCGATTCTAAGTAAGTAAGAGTTGAATTTCCACTGCTGACTAAGCTTAAGAGCACATACTTTCTTTGCGTAACAAATTGCATCTTCTGCATATAAAGGACTGAATTATATCCCTTCCCTTAGAATGAATGTTAAACTAAAACAGCCCGAAGGTTCATAGAAAGGACACAAAGCAGCAGCAGGATAATAATGATCAACAGAGCAGGACATTTAGGTAGATATGGGGATGTTACAGAAGCTTTGTGGATGTGATTACTGCCGATGTATATGCAATATTGTGATTTATGATCATCTCAACCAGTATTACTGCTGGAGATTCGAAGAGGAGCAGTGTGAACAGCTCTGGTTCTGATGGCAGCGGATCCCTGAACTGCTCGCTGCTCACTGTGGACCTGAAGAACTTCAAGACCATCTGGAGCGAGGAGGTTTCTCTGAACCGAGAGCGGTGGAAGACGCAGGCGGATAAAGGTGCGAGCAGATTCATCCCTGTGAGAGTGCGTATGTTTGAGAACTGTATCTGGGACGTCATGCAGAATAAATCATCCTCAAACAGGATTGTTTGCACACTGGAACTCAACAGCAGAACAAATTTAGGAAAGACATTCAAAAAATGTTTTAATAAATGCTGTTCTTTTGAACTTTCTATTCATCAGAGAAGCCTGAAAAATTAAATCTATGACGCTTTCCACAAAAATATGAGTCAGCACAACTGTTTTCAACATTTATAATAATAATAAATGTTTCTTGAATAGCAAATCAGCATATTAGAATGATTTCTGAAGGGTCATGTGACACTGAAGACTGAATGAAGTAATGATGCTGAACAATCAGCTTTGCATCACAGAAATAAATTACATTTTTTAATACATTTAAATTTTAGTAAATAGTTATTTTTGTTTGTAATATGTCAACATATTTCTGTTTTTTTAAAATACTTTTTTATCGAATAAATGGTGCCTTGGTGAGCATAAGTGACTTCAGACTTCAATTCAGACGATATTAGTACTGAATTGGTACATTCAAACTTTTGTAGCATTTTCCACATTTCATGCATTCTGAGTAAGTGAATAGTGTGAGTAATGTGCCTCTCACTGTGTCTCATACCAGAGAGGGAAGAGAAGGCCAAACGAGAGCTGGAGGAACAGCAGGAGGCAACAGCAGAAAACAAAGACCCAGAGCTGGCGGGACCAAAGAAAGACAGGGTGGGAGAAGACAACCCGGAGCCAGGGGGGGGGGACGGACCCCCGGAAGAAAGTCCCCATGACAAATCACAAAAACAAGGGGAACATCGGAAATTACAGAACGGTATTGTGATCGAATGAAATGAATGTTACTGTCCGCTCAGTAAATGTTGTTCAATTTGAAGACTAATCACTGACTGCCCTCTGGTGGATAATAATCAGAGTGATAAGAGGAACTAACGCTCTGTCTGTGTGGAATGGAAGAATTCCTTCTTACTGCAGACTGTGCATTATGTGCTTCATACAGCATGCTATTTAAAACCATAGTTTGTCACATAACCTCAGTAGATTTTTTTAAGCGATATCCATTTATCACCTATGGAAGCTTGTTTCCGCCACAGAATGAAAAATAAAAAAGGTAATTGCGACTTTTTATCTCACAATTCTGACTTTTTTTCTCACAATTGCGAGATATAAAGTCAGAATTGCGTGATATAAAGTCGCAGTTGCGTGTTATAAAGTCAGAATTGCGATATAAAAAGTCAGAATTGATTGATATAAAGTCGCAATTGCAGGTTATAAAGTCAGAATTGCGTGATATAAAGTCGCAATTGCGTGTTGTAAAGTCAAGAATTGCGTGAAGTAAAGTCGCAATTGCGTGTTATAAAGTCAGAATTGTGAGATATAAAGTCAGAATTGTGAGATATAAAGTCAGAATTGTGAGATATAAAGTCAGAATTGTGAGATATAAAGTCGCAATTGCGTGTTATAAAGTCAGAATTGCGTGTTATAAAGTCAGAATTGCGATATAAAAAGTCAGAATTGATTGATATAAAGTCGCAATTGCAGGTTATAAAGTGAGAATTGCATGATATAAAGTCGCAATTGCGTGTTGTAAAGTCAGAATTGTGAGATATAAACTATTCTGAAGGGAAAAAAGTTTTTTTCCCCTTAGAATTGGACTGATAACTCGCAATTGCGAGTTTATATCTCACAATTCTGAGAAAAGATTTCAATTGTGAGAAAAAAGTCAGAATTGTGAGATAAAAAGTCTAAATTCTGTCTTTTTTTTCTCGCAATTGCGACTTTATTTCTCATAATTGCGACTTTATATCTAGCAATTGCGACTTTATTTCTCACAATTCTGACTTCATATCTCGCATTGTGAGATAAAAAGTTGCAATAAAAAAAAAAAAAAATTATTCAGTGGCGTAAACAAGCTTCCATAATCACCTGGGAAATAAATGTAATTTAATCAAATCTATCTATCTATCTATCTATCTATCTATCTATCTATCTATCTATCTATCTATCTATCTATCTATCTATCTATCTATCTATCTATCTATCTATCTATCTATCTATCTATCTATCGCTGTCCGATCAAATTTTGTCTTTTGTCTGTTCCGCTGAATCTGTGATCACCTGACGTCTGTAAACAGGAGAAGTGTCTGAAGAGGCAGAATCACCAGCAGATGAAGATAAGAGAACACTCAGTGGTAAACATGCATGTTTATTCTGTATTCTGTCCCAGTGCGCTTTTGATGTCACTGTGGGTAGTTACAGAATGTATTAATATCTGAATGTCATTGCATCATATAATAAAATATCAGGCCGAGTGGCATTGTTTAAAAGAAAAGTGCACCCATGGTTCCTCTGCTGGGACACCTGTGTGAACTTCACCAAGAAAATCCCCAAAACACCAGTTAGTTACAGTAAAAGACATTGAGACGCAGACGCTCAATTTGATATTTCATGCGGTGCCATTCAGGTTTTTAACTTTAAATGTGACTGAAGTTCCCGTAACACTTTATTTTCGATGGTCCACTTTAGACATTCTACTAACTATAAGTAACTTTGCAACTACGTAAGGAATGTTGGTAAAAATTGATGTGTAATAAATTCTATGTTGAATAAAATAAGATATTTATTTCTATAATGTCTATTTGATGCTTTTCTCATTTGACACAATAATGACTTTAAAGGAGAACTCCGGCGCAAAATGAACCTTTGGTCTAATTACACATTGTTACCTAGTCAACCGTTATCTGAGATTTGTTTTCATGATTATCGAATGTAAATAGTTTTATCTCTAAAAACAGTTTAGCCTATAAAGCTAGTATAACGCTTGTATATTGGGCATAGATTAATGACAAATAAAAATCGCTTGTTAATACCACTAACAAGGCTCAAAATAGCCCCACACTAACACGGTAGCATAATGAGGGTCCCTACCTTCAAACCGAAGCATTGAGAACTTTGTCAGTGTCCAGACAGTTTAATAAGAAGATATTTTAAACATACAGTCAACTTCGCGTATACAGGCAGAAGCCATCTTTGAAATACAGCCTTTACCAGTCGATCTACGAACGCCGATCCAAGCCTGCTGTTCACGCTCACCTTATCACAACTATATAGCTCGTTCACATCTCACCAGCGCACTTGGATCGGCGTTCGTAGATCGACTGGTAGAGACTGTATTTCAAAGATGGCTTCTGCCTGTATACGCGAAGTTGACTGTATGTATAAAATATCTTCTTATTAAACTGTCCGGATACTGACAAAGTTCTCAATGCTTCGGTTTGAAGGTAGGGACACTCATTATGCTACCGTGTTAGTGTGGGGCTATTTTGAGCCTTGTTAGTGGTATTAACAAGCGATTTTTATTTGTCATTACTCTATGCCCAATATACTAGCGTTATAGGCTAAACTGTTTTTAGAGGTAAAACTATTTACATTCGATAATCATGAAAACAAATCTCAGATAACGGTTGACTAGGTAACAATTTGTAATTAGACCAAAGGTTCATTTTGCGCCGGAGTTCTCCTTTAAGTGTTCTTTTGTGTGTAATATGGAACTAACTCTCATTACATTACAGACTGTCTGCTTAATATCTGCTAACTCTTTATTTGAATGGTCCCCCAACAGACAGTAACTTTGCAACTAGATCAACCTATTCTACCTACCTGAACCCTAACCTACTCCAATGAGAGACAATCATGTAGTTGCAAAGTCACTTATAGACTAGTTAGTAGAATATCTAAAGGTGACCATCCAAATAAAGTGTAACCAAAGTACCTAAACACTTTTTTGCTGTTCTCATGTCTGAGGCTGTTTTTTTCTGATATCAAATTCTTCACTCTGATTTGAACAGAACCTGCGAATGCTTAGAGTGATTTCCAGTGGCGTCTTGCGGTCCGACATCAGACACAGAAGCGGTGAACTTCCCCTCGGTTCTGAAGGTCCACGGCGCCCTCTAGAGGACACAGCTAATGCTTACATCACTTTGTGTTCGGCCTCGATCCCCTCCAAAGCCTTTGCTGCAATTATCTCCAGACTTTCATAAGACTGATCCCTCCGAACGATGAAGAATGTCACAGGCGAGGGACAACAGCTGCTTTTGTCTGGTCTGTTTTATTAACTGAAGCAGATCTCATTTCCCTCCCAAACCTTTAGAGAGCAATGAGTTCATCCACTAAGAAAAAAGCATGCAAGAGCATTATACAGTAGGCCTACACACGAATTCTTGTTAAAACCTCCTTCATTTGTAATTACACACGCAAATGCTTTTTATGTCTTTCTGCATTTGCAGTCGGATGACTTGCCACGTGTCTATGATTTATATCTAAATACTATATACTATATAATAACTAATCTTAGCAGTTGCACCCGTGATCAATATTCACCCAGATCTGCTTTTGCGGCAACATGACATTGTGTTCAGTTATTTTAAACACGCTTTACTCGAAATGGACTGACTTTTATTTCAGCAAACGTGCTCTGATGCAATGTCTGCCTCCGACTCGCATTTGTTGGCAATGCCTCATCAGCTAATAGAGGTTGCGTATATGAAACCCTGAATGTGCATATGTATTATTATTGTAAATGACTGTCTGCATTTAGATCAGAGCTTTTATAACTGAGAAAAGCCGTATGAAGTGGCAGTATTTCTTATTGGAGCACGTGTGTGTGCAGCTGTGGAGTAGAAAACGCCTGATTCAACCTAAGATTTTTTTTCCTTCTCTCGCTTACCTTCAGATGCCTTTCTTCATGTAGTCTTGTTTCTGAAAGCGAACCGAACGCAAACGTCTTCTACAGGAAACGCTCACGCACAAACTAGCAGTCACCATAGACGATGTAAGTCTTATAACTGAACGTAGTAGTGTGTAAGTCATAACCATATCACTGTGCTCGCTCTGCAATACCTAGATATTTGCCGTACGTCATTTTTTCTGATGTCCTGAGGTTTTTGTGACCAGCGTTTCTCTGTCCTTTGAGCAGGGTATCTAAAAAAAGAAAGAAAAAAAGCAGGGGGAGAACATGTCCTTAACATTTCAGCCCAAAATCAAAAGAAAGCAAATAGGAAATTACATTTTGCATGATGAAAACAAACCCATTTTTAGGACCGTTATTTTTTTGAGGGCCTTTTAACATGATTTTCATGGCAATATAAGCACATTTTCCTCATTTCTTCTCATGAACATATCCAGACGTTTTACTTTTGAGTTTTTGTAATTCTTGTTAATCTTAAAGACGCTCTAACAAATACACTATCATGCAACAAAAAATATTTTTTAACGTTTTGAAAGAAGTCTCATGGTCACCAAGGCTGCACTTATTTGATCAAAAATAGGCCTACAGTAAATCTCTAATATAGTGAAATATTATTACAATTTTAAAAAACTCTTTTCTATTTTCATATTTTTTAGAATGTAATTTATTCATATGATGGAAAAGCTGTATTTTCAGCATCATTACTCCAGAATTCAGTCACACGATCCATCAGAAATCATTTTAAAGGCATTATATTTATCATCCTTGGTGTGAACAGGCCTTAATATGCTGGTCTGCTCGAGAAACATTTCTGATTATTATCAATGTTCAAAACGGTTGCTTAATATTTTGTGGAAACCGTGATAATACATTTTTTCAGGATTCTTGGATGAACAGAAAGTTCAAAAGAACAGCATTTATTTGAAATAAAAAATATTTTGTAACATTATACATTTTATTTTTGATCAATTTAATGCATCCTTGCTGAATAAAAGTTTATTTTTTATTTTTTATAACTCACTAACCCTAAAATTTTTAATGGTAGAGTTGGCCTATCATTATTGTATAAATACATTTGCAATTGAAATAATATATCATTGTTGTTTTTAATATTCCAGTAATAATGAAATTTGGTGTTTTATTTTATCTTATTTTTGTTTAAAGGTAATGCGAAAATGACATAAACATAAGATATGCATTTTTATTATGCAATTTTTTTTTTTATTCAATATCATTTATTTTACTTTTGATTTCAGGGTTAAATGTGACTTGGACATGTTATTGACAGGTTGTGTGAAGTTCATTCATTATGAAGTTCAGCATTCAGGAACTGCTTTGTTAATTGGAACATTTAACTCTGTGTTCTTTTCTCCTATTTGTTCCATCTGTTGTTGTAAATATGACCTGTTTCTTTTAATAAGTGAGAGAGACAGGATAAATGTGTACATTCACAGCGACTCTGGCATGTTCTGAGGGTGTGACGTGAGAAAAGTTGAACTTCTGAATTATTGTTTTTATTTATACGAAGCCTGTAAAACGATTCTTCCTTACTGTATCTAATTTATGTATATTATTTACCGAGTTATTAGTGTAAAAGTTTGTTTTTCTCTTTTCCCAATATCTTTACTCAGCAGAATGAATATCATTGTTATTTGCCCTGACAAAATGAGAGCAGATAATGGATATGCATTTCTCCTGAAATGAAGCAAATTGGCACTTTATTACATGGGTTTCATGATTCAGTTTGCCGCCTTGTGGTTTACTGTAAAGCTTCCTGTAGATTCAGACTATTACTAGATTTGGTTTCAGATCATGGGGCAGATGAATGTGATGGCATGTGCTAAAATTGTGCTTGTGTGTGTGTGCGTGCGTGTGTGTGTGCGCATGTGTGTGCGCACGTGTTTGCGTGTGTGTGAGCGAGCTGATTATGTCCAATTTGTAAAAGTTGACACTGTGATCCTTAGTGTCTATCCGTCTCCATGATGTCTGTTTTTGAGCAGGACACAGAGAAAGAGAAAAGCATCTGTGTCTGCACATGCGTGATTCACAATAAACATCAACTTAAAGGGCTCAGAACAAACGTGCTGCTGTTTTTGGGACTAAAGTGTGTGTGTGATTGAGGAGTTAAAGGTATAGTCCACCCATAAATAAAATGAAATACCATTTATTTACCCTTATTTAGTTTCCAAACACATATGACTTTCTTTTGTGAATCACAAAAGGCAAGATATTCAGTGAACAACTTTATTTTGGTATAGTCTATTTTGGGGCTTCAAATATGGAATCAATTTTGAATAAAATTCAAAATTGTTGACATCCATTGATGTAGAATTCAGAAACCCTTGTTATTAGCGACACCGGTGGCCGTTAAGTGAACTGCAGCCAGCAAATTCTCGTGCTCGCACTCGCAACTCACATTTAGATGAATATGTATAGATGAATCTTTCCGTCTCGCCATTGGACTAGTTGACACACGTGCTTCAGACGCAATCACGCAGAAGCGTTCCCAAAGTGGCATCGACGCAGCGTCTCATTCCCTTCTTAGGGAACTATGGTTACAGTCGTAACCTGGGACATTTTATGTGTCATTGAACAGAAGAAATGCTCTCGGGAGCACGCATTAACACATTTTTGAGTCCTTCACATAAAAACCAGTCTACGTGCTTTCATAGACAACCTAGGAAGGTCTTGTTTTTTGAGTTTCATTACAAGCTGTTTACACATTGGCAATACAAAAAGCAATTGATACATGGAGGTTCTTACATATAGCCCCTTTAAATACAGTACATATGGACTAATTGATGCATTTATGGTCTGTTTTTGTCATTTTTGTGTCTTGACAGCCATTGTCACTAAATGCTTTTTTTGTATAGACGAGAAGCATGTGCCTTCTGCTAAATTTCCTCGGTTTGTGTTAAAACGAGGAAACAAAGTCATATCAGGTGACGCATTTTATTTTGGGGTTACCAAAATTACAGCAAAGATTACAACAAATGTGCCACTAGGTGTCACTGTTATTATGTGGGAACTGATTTACCTGTGCTTCATACTATTCAATGGACAAAATCCAGTCACTTGCATCATGTCACCATGCTCTACTGAAGAAGTGGAAAGTGTTTGCATGTAGTAGTGCACAAACCTGCACCTTTCTCACTAATATACAATCCCAAATACTATGAGCATTCAGACACTAAGAAATCTATTTGCTTTAGATTTGATTTGTCTATTTCCCCAATTGAAACAAAAAAAAACATATTTTTTGTCATTTTTTATTTAATGCAATGACAGGGACATGAGTGCTGCTCTCATATACTCTACAGTTATCAAAACAGCTTTAAGAAGATGGAAATATTTTGTCAATGCAAAATAATACCGTAAAAATAATTGGAATATTCAATAATTCATGTTTTATCTGTGTATATATATATATAAAAAATAATTATTTAAAAATCGAAGATATAATCATGCAAAAAATAACACCTATCAATATAAAAAGAGCAATATAAAAATAAATAATTTCATATAGTTTATTTTCTTATATTTAAAATAATAACAACAATGATAAATGCTATTATATTGCTCAATGATTATTTAAAAAAACTAAATTTAACTAACTAATTCAATAAAATGAAGGAAACTAAAACAACATGTAAAATACTCAATATATGGCTTTGTTTTATTTTTATTTTAAATCAAACATTCCCATATTTTAAGTGTGATCTGAATATACAAACAGATTTTGGGGTCACAGTATATTTATTGATGAAACGGAATTGTTTAACTGGTTCCTTCCCTGCGCTGCACTCCTGTCCTCATTATACAGCATCTGTCGACAGGAATATGAGACATAATGTCCTCACATAAGTGTACAGGTGCTTCTTATGCACTTATCAAGTTCTTTGAGACTCTAGTCCATCGAATATGTTGAGTTTATGAGAGGTTTTGTAGCAGTCCTGGGCCTGCCTGACAGAAGAAAAAAAACGAACAGATTAAACCCCGACTCAACAAAATAACACCTTGGTTACACCATATTCAATTTTCACACAGCAAACATGAAGTGAAAATTATCATCAGGGCATCAAAACAGATGTGTGTGTGTCTGCACACATCTGTGTTGAAGGGTCCCCATCCACCTCTATATTATGAATATATATTTGTTTGGATGATAAATGGTGTATATGATGTTGTTATAAGTCTTGTGTTATCATATTTATTAGATGTTACAGGGATATGTATATGTTCTTTAAACCACATCCATATACACATATGCAGATTAACACAACTATTCTCTCCTATTTAAGAATGAACAGGTTTTGCTGAGCATATTGTGAGCTGATAGTGGGATCTTAGTTTAGACCTTTGGTGTTTCACTGTCTCTGTATAGTTTCTTAAAGGTCATTGCATCGAAAGAGACTTTTCAAAGA